TCGGAAGTACTTCCTCAACATTCCTTTGTAGGGAACAAACACAGGAGATTTCTTAACATTCATACCAAAAAACACATGAGACTTGTGAAGGAATAAAGACTTGTTGGTGTTCACGTACTTGCTGAAGTAGACCCGCAAGTTCTAGACTTCTAGTCGATTTCCCATCCTTTCAAATCATGCTCCACCAACATTGACTTTTACACATGCTGTAGATTTGAAGAATTTGTAAAAAAAATTAACGAAGAGCTGTCTAGCTGCCTCTCATAAAAAAATAGTAACTTTGGAAAGATTGAGAAACAGAAGGAAAAAAATTAGGAATATATATTACCTTTAAATTCTATGTTTCTCAATCCGTTGAATATTTTTTGTCTTGACTTTCATTTAGTTTTCTGTTTAATGTCATATTATCTACTTGATCAAGATATGTCATTCTTCTCAAGTAAAAAAACCTGCAAATCAGTATTTAAAAAGATTAACAGATGATAGGCAACACATAAGAATGTATTAATATTGTTAAATCCGTTATATAAATTGTGGAAAGAAAAAAAATTTGCTAAATTGAACAACAAAATGAAAGAAAAAAATGGTAGAGTTCGTAGATATTGCATCAAACCTTTGTAACTTTCAAAGTCCCGTAAGCTTGTTTCATAACCAAAAATTGTCGAGATGTTTAACAAAAGCCAAAAATTTGATGCAAACGTATAATTTTCTCAAATGTTAGATCAGTATTAACAAATTCACAAGACGACACAACGCTCTTTTAGGCATTTCTCCAAACACCTTGCATACATCTTTTTGTCTTTTCACCTTGATTTTTGTTGATAAATCTCAGAATTATAACAAATAGGGAAATCCAGCACCAGAGTAAAAAAGTGAAGGAGAAATAACGAAATTAACAGACTAAATTAAAGAAAGAGATCCTCTTCGATATCTAGTAGGAAATTTGCAGTCGTTCGGCCTGAATGCAGAATCATTTGAAAAACGCATAGACCAATAAACTCGCTGCAGAAAAAAGAGCAATAGACAAAAGCTTAAAACAGTAATCAAAATGTGAAATACTGATGCGGTTACACATATACGAATATTCAAAAAATGTTTAAACCCTACAAATTCGACTCTACACATTATAAATCCAGCGAATATATATCCAGCAAAACAAAAATGAAAGAAGAAATCAAAATCAACCGATTCGATTACGATATATGACCAATCAAAAAAGAACAAAAAAAGTTCATTGAAAAATGGAGTAACGGGATCGGCGATTGACGACTATTCATGTGAATATAACAAATAAAGAGCGATAGCAATGAGGGAGATGATATCGTGGATTTCAAGAAGCAGTTAGAAGAAAATAAGAGAATTGTGGTTTGCGAGAGGAATTTGGATTCGTAGAAAAATGAATGATTAGATTTTAAAAAATAAATGGAAGAGAAAGAAGTGGTGAATATGGAGATTGTGGGGGAAGTCTGAATGCGATTAA